GTACTGACTGTGTACTCTATGTCAGGGGCATTGTTACCTCCATGACACTGTGGGAGAAGACTATTAGGAAACTGTTTTCCAGGTGATAACATGGGGTCATGGAGGATGAGTGGACTTCAACTTGGTAACCTTGCCAGGATTTGAACCTGAGTCCAAGTAATTATATTCCTACTCTCTGGATGGTGTCTGTTTCTGCCCCACATTAGCTCTGCCCTCCTCCAACAGAGGTGAAAGATAAATTTACTGGTGAGGAATCTAAGTAGCTCTTACCTTTTACATATTTAGAGAAACAAGCCCCTTGGAGGGTTTGACTTGTTGCTGTGAAATGGGTAAGGACAGAGCACTCTGGCAACTTAGTTCTGTAATGGAGGACTGTTTAAAGAAATCACGCCAAGCAACAGACTTGAAAATCGGTGAAAAGAGAGTTCCAACTGCAAACCCTGTTTCTTTTCCCTCTTCATCACTCAGGCTTGATTCTCGATTTCTAGCAGCTGGCTGCTCCCATTTGGCCTATCCTCTTACCTTAACAGAATTACGCATTTATGTATTTGTGTGTGTGTGTGTTGTCTTGTCTATATGAACACCATATGTGTGCAATGCCTTGGTGGCCAGAAGAGGGCGTCAGAGCCCCTGGAACTGGAGTTTTGGGTGGCTGAGGGCCACCTGATGTACATGCTGGGAACTGGACCAAGAGCTCTTAACCATTGAGCCATTGATCCAGCACCTATTTAACCTTAATTTCTTTGCTCATTATAATATGACCTAATATAATTTTATTTAGAAATATTATCTGTAAGTTGTTTTTAAATGTAAAAAAGGCTATATGAAATAAATTAGTGTAAATTCTTCCCCAAAGTACGCTCCATTTTCCTGAACAACAGCCTCTTACAGACAGAAAAATCAAGGTGCCATCAGCCATCCATACTGTCATCAGGCTCTGCCACAGCGTAGACAGGTGAGATCTTGAGGGACCCAGTCTCCTTAAACTCAAGTTTTCAAATGTAAAATGAAGTTTTGCCCAAATTCCCGAGATCATAGATTCTTGGTATTGACTTGATAGGGCCAGGAGGTCTGTGGACAGAGTTCCACAGTACCATGAAAAGTAGGCAGCCATGATTTGTGGGTACAGATAGGCATTTCTCTTGGAGCAGGGTCCATAGTATTTGTCAGAGTCTCCAAGTAATCTGTGGCCCCCTAATGAAATTGTAACATTCCACTGTAGTAGATGGTCCACAAGGCCAAGGATCGCCTGATACTTTTGTGAGTGATGTGACAGAGTCTCTGTTCTGAACACAGTCAAATAAAAAAAA